TAAGCTATTTCTATGAAAATATGGAATCTCTGCCACTGACTACATTTGTTGCCTATTAAAAATATTACTTACCAAAATATATATTAAAATATTACCAAACTTCGTAACTTCCTTGAAGCCCACTGTCCCTCAGCCAGAATTCCCGCTTCGCTCATTTAGCTCCCCCCCCCCAACCCCTTTCCGTCGAGCAGATCCATTACTGTTGTTTAGGCCTATTACACAGGCTTTTGCCAGCAATCTGTATGACGCATAGACTGTTGACATACGGTTATGTCAATGAACTGATACAGATAATAATGGATCTTTGCTCCGTGTAGGCCTCTATAAATTTTTGAATTTATTATTTTCATCTTTTATATTTTAATTATGGATCTTATTTTATTGTGTAAATAGTTAATTAATGTAATTTGTGAGTTTGTATATACTGTATTTTTCTATTTTTACTTAGGCAAATTTAATTAATGTGTGTGCAGTAGTAAAATCTTTAATTTAAATATTTTTGGTAAATTGTAGGTGGAGGTTCACAGCATTGCTAATGATAGTGGAATTATCTTGCCTTTGAATCTTCCTAGAAAATACTCATTATTTTATTTTTTTCTATTTGTTTATTTTCTTATTTTTAATTAATTTTTTTTTTGTAAACCTGTGCTTTGTTTTGTAATTGTTTTCTTGAATAAATAATAAATTAATAAATATAATTTAAGTTTCTATAAAGTGCTACTAGTGTTATTTTATAGGTCTACGTCAAAAAGACACGGCAGTAGGATTACTACTTATCTTATTTTTTTTGTATACAGTGCTCAGCAAAGTGCTTGGTTGAATATTCTTTATTTTTTTTTAACTTTATTTCACAATTTCAGATTACGTGGTTACTGTATTAGGCGCTTAACAAACGGGCTTCCGTCATTGTTTATTTTGTACTATGTGCAGAAGGTATACCTCTATGAGTAAGCATATTGACATTACGAAAACGTCTTTTCAAGACCCAGTCTAGAATGTTAATGCTAATCAATCATTGGTCATTGGATTTGAACGGTAGGAAATGGGGAAATCCCGTAGAAGTCCTATAGCACACCCCCTACCCGCTGACATGTGTCCTTTGATAGGGGAGGGGAGATTACGCTTAATAATATAGGAATATATTGTTGTGGGTTATGATGATTTATATCGCCATATGATCAATGTAAGGCAATCAGGCATTCAGCTTCTATCAGTCAAGACTTTTAACATGCATAGTTACCAACCGTCTCGCATCGTGCGGGACGGTCAAAGTGATTTTGGATGAAACACGAATTTTACAGAACACATGCGTGATCATAAATTTGTCCCGCATTTAGCACAAGCCTATGCGTGATAACGAATTATCAGGAATTCAGGGGAAATGTATTTAAAAACAGAAGAAATTGGTTTTATTAAATAAAAGAAATTGGTTTTATTAAAATATAAAAACGGTCATGCAGTAGCTTGAGTCATTAGAGAGCTTTTGTTTATCTCGTTCGAGAATCAATTCACCGAGAAGATTCTACCGAAAACAACAAAGCCAACCACACACTTAGGCCTATTAGAATTTAGTAGGGCCTAGTAGTCGCCTGTGATCTTGCGCATGAGAGGCGAAAGGTAGGCTCCCTCAGCCCCCCCCCCCCTCTCTCTCTCTAGGCGGCCCTGTGTCTCAGCCTCATGGTAGTAGAATATTTTATAACAATTCAAACTTTTATTGATCTATAACTCCATGGTAAGCTATTAAATGGCAGTTTTGTTGTTTACTCCCACGTGTTGTTCGACAAATTTAAGAAAAAAAAAAACACGCTGCGCGCAAGGCGACGGTAACGACGGCGATAACGCCATAAGTATTAATAATAATTCCAATTTATATAAAGTTTAACAATCTCGAAGCACTTAACACAATTACAGAAAAGTAGAGAAATTAATTATTGTCACCCTCTTGAATCAATTGAGCGGAAACTATGGTATTGATAATCAATATTCGAAGCCACCACAGGAATGATTTGTCAGACCATGACAATCTGTTGACAGTTCCCGATGTATCCCTAGACCTTCCTCTAAAAACAAATATTTAAAGTTGTATACAATTTCAAGGTTATATAAAACTCTAGAATAGCAAAGAACGTATTCCAGACATATTAGCGAATAATAATTATGGGGAGCATGCCTCTAATAAAGTCTAATACATGTATACCAGTTCCCACGCTTATCGATAGGCTATCACTTGGGATGTCTGGTAGCGACTTCCATTATGAGCAGCTATCTTATCCATAACAACCCATACCTTAAGTTTATTTCTAATTATTTTAGCTTACCTTGTAGGAAGTGCTGTATTTTAATAGTCCAAGTTAAAACGTGTTATCTACATCGTTCGTCATGTCACAGTACTGTCCAGGGTTCTAACTTTAAATGATTTCGCCGGATACTATTCAGAGTTGAATAACGATGCCAGCTATTTAAAGGGCCATGGGATTTCCCACTACAGAGATGTGACGAAATCCGGATCTTTTTCGAAAGAGTTCATAAATACTATCGATCGTGTTATTATAAGCCTTTATATATGTAAATAGTGAACAATAAATAATATATTGTAGTTCAAAGTTGAATTGTTCATTTGTTTAATTAAGTAATTTTCCATGAACGATTTAGTAAATGTGTTGCCAAGAAAACAGACGCATAGCGTTCCTATGCGAACATATTTGCGATTGGTTTCAATAGTTCCTTTTTGTAACTGTAATATACTCTATGTATTAAACAGTAAATCAGCCAAAATGTATTTTATTTTGTTCTGAGCTTAAAGAGAAAAAAAACATGCGAACATTGGATCACTAAAAACACAATAGAAATATAAAGATTATTTTTTTAAGTTAAGAAAATCAAATTAGCCACATTTATAATTGTAATTAGGGCTATACCTTTATCATTGTCATGATTAACAGTGATGATAATCATAATTATACCATTCATGATCGTTACCCTTTTCATTATTACAATGATTATTACCATTTATCATAATCATTATCATATCATCATCATCATCACCTCTCATCATAACATAAATAGCATTATTATTTATCATCATTATCATTAAAATTATAATTATTTTTTATTATTATTAGCCTTAATATTAGCCATCAATACTGAACTATTATTTTAATTTAATACAGTATATTTATTGTTATTATTATTAGTTATAAACATTATTAGTTTTATACATTTAATGTTATTGTTATTAATTCATTGTCACAACCACCTGTTGATTAAGTGACTGGAACCCGGGCATCCACCGAGATTCCGCCCCTGGACCACGAGGCCTCCCCTGCCCCACCATTAAACTGGTATTAGTCACACATTTCAAATCTCTCAAGAACACAGGAAGGGAGTTTTATACCTCCTTCCTCCCAGTATAAAGTACCTATGAACGCCCTGGCTAAGCTTCTGGATATTGAATAGCTATTTCTTGCCAGGAAACTTAATGAGGAGAACGTGAACCATCAAAATACGCTAATAAATAAACAACGCCAGAATTATCCCTACTGCTCTAGGCCTACGCGGGCTCGGAACTACCTCCGAGAGGCGAAAGGTAGGCTCCCATGTTATGAACACATGATACATAACACTTTCACTCACTACAAATTATTTCTCCATCTTCTTTTTGTTTTACTCTACCTTTTTTCTTTTTGTTTTACTCTTTTTGTTTTACTCTACCTTTCCCTTTAATGAGAAGCGCATAGAGGCTTCATGCATTATACTCTATATAAACGTAAATTTCTCGACGTAACTTTATGAAATATATTCATGTGTATAACCGTAATACTGTATCCGGTACATAATGTTAGTTTTACATTTAAATATTTAGGCCTACATTTGAAATATTTAGTACCTTTAGTATACTGCGATTAGACAGTGGCGTATCCGAGTTTTGAAATGGAGGGGGTGAAATGATGGCGGGGGCGAAGGTCAAATGAGGAGAGCTTTAAAGGGTGAGGTAATTTAAAGTGATTTCTAACTACTTGAGTGTGATTTTCTTTTACGGGGAGGGGGAACCCGCGCACCACTCAATATACGCCACTGCCATCGATTCCAAGTATCGATCTATAGGTCTTGATCCTATAGTCATATGTGTCTTGTTATGTGGCGTCGGATGTGAGGAACATCCTATGACTAAATCGTAAACCAAAGTAGCGACGTTTCGCAATGGTATCAAGATTATTGAATTGGTTTCATTAAAGTGGGCCATGTTTAATGGACAGGAACTTACCTCGGCAATTTGCACATATAGTAGCTATGATTTGAATATCCTGGATACGCCCGTTAAATACATACATACATAAGTACGGTACATAGTTGCTCATACCAAAACAGGCCTACTTAAATAACTTGAATTAATTTTCCCCTTTAGTTGGCGTCGTTCATGTTAACGCCTACCTTTTCCTAGCTTTCCTTAGAGTAGTCACTTTAAAGGCACTATCAAATAAATCTAAAAATAATAAGTAATACTCATTGAAATTGCACATAATTTATCAACATTTTATACGGTCACAAAAAAAAAACAGATTTCAATGATTTAAAGGCCTTAACCTTATTTTGTCAGAATATAAAAGTGGACTTCAATTAATACTCTGTCTAAGACCTGTCTCTTATACACATCTAGATGTGTATAAGAGACAGTCCTAACTCAGTGTAATTTTTTATGTTTTTGTTTGAAACGGTGTTCAGGCAGGGGCGGCCCCCTTTTAATTTAATTTGCCAGGGATGGGGTTTTTTTAATTAAAAAATAATAAAAGTTTGTGGTAATTTATGGGATTCATTATTTAAAAAGAATAGTTTGATAGAAAACCCATGCAAGCTAAGAGTCCCGCTGTCTTGTGTGGTAGTTCCCCTGTCGGGGGTAATAGCCCCCTGTCGGAGAAGAGCTGGCGCCATCACTGCAACCCATACGATCGCAATAGTATACAACACCTCGCATATACGGTAGTACTGCTCGCACTATACAGATTTAATCACTAAATTTGACAGCTTATTAAGGTATGCTTGAATTGTTCTTTCAGCGCTCGAGATTTATTTTCCCCCGACGACCTTGCTGAAAATTCTCCGACCGGGAGTTCAAGGTGGGGTGTTCCAAGTGTCCCCGACGGGGGCCCTTTCCCCTAACGCTGCGGCCGTTCATGAAGACTAACTTCAATAGCCAATTAGTTCACTTTTCTTGGAATCCCTTCTTTGGCACCGTTTTCAATTGTGAAAATTAATGAAGTGATACAGTGGACTTTTTCAGAGTGTCAATCTTGAGGACTTTAACAATAATCAATCAGAAAAGGACGTACGTCCCCGGTGTCTAGTCCTTCTGTGGGACCTTCGCAACATTATCTAATGGAAGGGGAATTATTATAAATGTAAATGGTAGTACTGTACATCTTTATTAGATAATATTACAGCAATATGAAAATTTTCGTATGACAACAAATCCATTCAAATATTACGCCGACGGTCGTAAGGTGAAGCGATGCCATGAAAAACGCACTTGACGAGAACAAGCGATGAATCGTCTTAATGAAGATCTGGTTAGATTGCCACAACATATTTCTTTTGTTTTTGAGCATGAAATAATAAAACCACCAATTAAAAGGGGTATGCAATAGAACACGGTAATAGAAACGGTATTATGTAGGCGATCCTACTGTGGTGCCTGTTTACAGAATAATTGACTTCAAATGCAGCTTGCTAGTAATCGGAAGTTAATCAATCTGTAGGTAGGCCATAGAGGTAGGCCTACCGTACCTTACGCTGACAGTACAATACGGTATATCACTTAAAGGCGCTAAGTGTTAACGCACTTCGTCGACGCGTTTGCACAATATCGGTGTAAAGTTTCGAAATGATGCATACAAAATTAGAATTTAGGATTTTCCAGAATCGGTGAACTTTTAAAAAATTACATATGACTTTAAGTTTGCTGTTACATAAATGCTCTATCAGTTGAAAAGCCAAAGTCGTTTCGTTTTTCTTGGCACCAGACCAATTTTTTTTTTTAAATCAAAAGACGTATTCATCCAAAGGAAATTGCATTGTTAGTCAGAGGCGGATGCAAAGGGACGCAGGCTCGCCCCCACCCCCACCACCACAATTTAAAAAAAAAATTAAATTAAAGCAGGGGGAGGGGAAATTACATTTAAATTCAAGTCAGAGTGTACCATTGCCGGCCATCTAGTAGTAGCATAGTCATAACCTCAATCCCATCATAATGGTGGGCTTATGGTCTGGTCTCTCTATCCATCCATAAATTTACCTCCCTGGGCCCCCTCTATTTTGTAATCCTGTAATCCTGAATCCAACACTGCTAGTACGCCTATATACAGGAAAACATTCAAATTATTTAAAATGCGTTGTGCAATGAAACATTTTTAACTGCCACCAACAGCCAGTGGACACACCGAACGGTATTGGGTAAAGACGAACTTAATTTCGTCGAAGTCTGGTGAAGACAGCATATCTGCTAGTGGCCGAATATATTCGAATACTTTTGGGACAGGAAGATAGAAAAGTGTTAAATATAGACATAATCTACACATGGAACGGACCAGCTTAATATTGTAATTAACAATGCGTATTCTAGTAGTCTACCGGACTTATTATCGTACTGAATTCCATTTCATTTCACTTACAGTATTCATTTATTCATCAATTACTGTACAATCAACAATAAAATATACAGATATTAATATAAAATACAAATACTCAGCAGGCCTACGTTCCCAATAGAATGTGTATTTTATTGTTTGTGTAATTCTGTATTTTATTCTAAAAATAACGGGTAATGTTAAGATAAGAAAGAAGGAAGATGGAATAAGAAATAAATACGGTGTGGCTTAAAAATATTTTCCAGTGATTATACAGAATTAGCATAAGCGAACTTCCTACTTTGAAGGACTAAAGCTAAACACCCTTGTTTTCTTTCGTTTTAAATTAGCCATATACAGTAAAGTCATGTTTCACTGTTCCAGCATCTTGGCAAACTATTATTGTATGCAAATGTGATAGGCCCTACAATTTGTTCAATGTTTCATTTTGCGTATTAATCCATATTTCTTTGCTGTCAAATATTATGGGACAGGGTTACCCACGCTGTTTGCTTTTTCAGGGGAGGATGGAGGGAGAGAAACAAGTAAAGAAAGAAAAAAATAATAAAATTAATCGCCCAAAGCGCCTTAGATGTTATTTTCGGGCGTCTAGAACACCAAATTTTCACGGGGGCATGCCCCCGAACCCCAAGGGTAGTGTTAACTCGGTCGTCCCCACTCCACCCACCCCAACCCTTTCAGACATCTCTGGAGCCCCTGTTCTGGGTCTCATTTCTTTTATTCCTCTCATTATCATTTTGAACTTGACTGGTACACTGGTGGTAATCGTAAGCATAGTATTTTCATAATTATGATTTTTGTATAGTTGAAAAGGCTTATACGTATTTTAAAAAATCATTTTATTTTTTTTTAAATTTTACAAGATCGAAATTATGATAAATGAATTATGAAAATATATAAAATTGTTATACAAATTAATACAATAAAATATATTGGATTTTAAATGACTCTTGTTTTGATTGGTTTACTAATTGATTGATTCATTCGTTCACTGGTCTATTGCACAGGTGAGCAATGTGCAGCCCGCAGACCACATTCGGACATATGGTGATTTTGTTATGGCCCGCGAAAATAAATTAGAATCCTGACGTGTGCAGCCCGCCAACCATCTTTGGCTAGAAAACCCCTTGTATTGTACGACCCGCTACCGATCGTTTGTAAAAAAAGTAAAATGAAAACTGAGGATAAAGCAATATTATAAGCACTGCATGAAGGTTTTTGAAAGCACACTGGAAACATCAGAGTTTGGATGTGGCCATCGATGCAAAATCAAAAATTCACTTTGACCTCTCCGACCCACTTTTATGCTCACCCCTGGTCTATTGAGTGATGAATTGAACTGTATAATATTTATATGTCAAACTTATATGTCCCCACTTATATTACCCTTCCGTTAGATATTACAGTATTAATTCTGATATCAAACAAATAATTTCTTATACATTCAGAGCCTTCATAACTGAATTTTTGTGACATCATACTTGGGGAATTTCTAGATTAATTGACCTACAGTACAGTACATCTTTAACATCCTTTTTAAATATGTTCATTCATTATTCGAACCTTTAAAAGTGTCTGTCAGTAGCTTAAAGATATACGATCTGTCATAAAATCTGGAAATTCTAAAAAGTTCTACAATTAAAACATTCAATAGCTAATTTTTGAGCATTAAATTACCACCTTCCAATGAGACACAGATCAAATCTAATCAGTTTTCACTTTTTTACAATTTATTACTAAAATGCTTAAATTGATTACCATTTCATTTCTGGTCCAGAGCACATAAAGAACATAAAATATTTCGCATTCTCACTTCCAACAGAAAGCTAATAACTAACTTACTTATACAAAGTAAGAAGTTTAAGTTTTGAACAGTATGTCTTAAATGCTTGATTAATAATTATTTGAAAATGCACACAAGTGGCGTATGTAGGCAAATACTGATCATGTGTACGTAATTTCATCATCAAAACATTTCACGTGATCAGTTAAGCCAACAGTGGTGACATGCACACCAGACTGCATAACATATCACAACTAATTCATTAAAATCACAAATAATTATACATGAGTTGAATAACAAGGTTTAATTCATTAAATACAGTATTAACAAAAAATATTACAATATATAAAAGAAACAATGTATGCATTCTTAGGAAGGTTGTAAAAACTGATTGTTTCTATCATCTAAAGAAGCAAAAACTTAAAACTCTAGAATTCTGGAAGGACTCTTCGGATGGGAATCTGGACGAAAACGTTTTGGTGACTTAGGAGCGGTTAACTGCATCTAAGACAAATCAAAAGATTATTATTATTATTGCAATGTAATAACAAACCAATGTTGCATTTTTTAGTATGTTGCAGAAACCTTTATTTGCTTAAAAATCACTTATATCTATATATACATGTTGACAAAGAAATTACACCAAATCCATATACACAAAACACAAGTTTTTTACCTTCTCAGACATTTGCCTACTTCCTTGAAATTATATTAATTAATTAAGATTAATATATTTAGAACTAAGTATGTATAACTTATTTTACATTTTGTATGTCCCATTTTTACAACGAAGAAAATAAATGTTTATTTGAATTTGAATATTTCTAGTGCATGTTAATAATGGATCTCGGATTACTCAAATTTAGGTCAATTGCTAATAGTAAAGGGAAGAAGTGAAGAAAACATCTCCGTAAAGAGAAATGACAGCAAGGAGGGGAAAGGATTGAGAAGGGGATCAAACATTTGGATACTTCAACAACATCACCGTGAGCAACGCTATAGTCCACTGCCAGCACCCCTCCCCACCTCCATCAACACTGTTACTATTGTGTTAATATAAATGTTATAGTAGAAACAATGATTAAGAAATACCTTTTGCCATCTTTCAATGACTTTAGCATATTCAGCTAAGTAGAACTGAAAGACTTCTTCGCAGTCAAGTCGTACTTGATGTTCAGGAGGGTTGTACAGTGAACAGTTTATCCTCACTTGCAGCATATCATTATGAAAACCAATGAAGTCATCATAGGCCTGAGACTACATGAAATGAAAAACAATAACATTATGCATTATTGGCTTCACCATCATTATCATAATAAATTCATCATCAAGATCATCATAATGGTTTTAATTTATTATTGTATCACTTTAATTATAATAAACACAACTGCCTTTAATACATTCATTACCATTATCATTCCCATCATCATTATCTTCATCAATCATTATCTTAATCTTAATAATGATGAACAAAATGATGACAGCTGATGGTGACGGAAATAACGATCATCATCATCATGATCTTGAAAATAATATGATAACCATAATGATGATTATGATGATGATGATGATGATAATGAAATTTTCATCACTTTATCTACATTTTTTTAAATTTTAATTACTATACTTGAAAAAGAATACATACCTCTAATTTCCTCTTAATTGTTCCAAAATCCATTGGATTTGAAACAATTTTATGATAATTTGGAGCTTCTATGGCACTCACTAGAACAAAAGAAATAGCTTTAGCACTCAGGATGACATGATAACATGATCAATCAAAGTTACCATCTATGTGTAACACTGTAAATTGGATCTGTCCATCAATCAAATTAACAACTGACCAATCAGAACAGGGCCATGAATATGCATATACTTGTGTATCGCCTCACAACCACACGTGTTGTCCCACAAACGCATGTGTTCCTGTATGTTTTAACACTGTCATTTTGTGGGACCTTAGCAACAATATCCAAGGGGCGGGGCTTAGTGGAAAGGTCAATAAAGGTCAAATGAAGGAATTATAAAGCCATGTGTCAAACTACACTACCAGTTTCTTATTCCAGCTACTCATTAATACTCCTGGGTGAAGAGAGGCAAAGGCAGATAAAATGTTTTGCCCCAAGACACAAGCAGTATTAGAAGTCTTGGTACTCTCAATAGAGGGATTTGGCGACGGGCGTCATGTGACCTAACTTGGGTGTTGGATATAAACTGGTACAGCAGTGTTTTACATGGCTATTGCAGCCGTCCATTGTTTGTTGCTGTAAAGATCATCATAACTCTCAGTAAACTATACCAAATTGATTAGAAATTAAACTTATTAAACTTAAGAATTTTGCCTTAATGGTTTGCTAATGCTGTAAAAGATACTGGCCCCAAACATTGAGATTTTTTGAGGCATAGTTAGATATGCAAACTACACTGCATACAATCCTTGGAGAAGCTGTGATAAGTAAATACACACTATTTTGAACAAACGTATTGCCTTTCCTAGCCATTTATTTCTCACCTTAACAGTAGGTAGTTGTTTTCGTAACCATAACATTATCTTTTCCTATACTATCGCACTGTAATGTTTTTCATGTATACCAAAGTTAAGTCACATGAATGGCTATAAACAAACATCGACGAATGACTCTATTGAAAGCCCAAAGTAGCGAGTGCCCAGCTTTAACCACACTTGAGGACTATACAAAGTAATGTGATTTATCATTATTATGTACTTACCTGGTCTTGTGAACCATGATGCTGCATTGGGGTCCCCTTTACCCCTGTTTGAGCCCCTGAACCTGGATACTCTTTGAAGTAAACTAAAATTGAAATGTTATGATAACAATAATATAAAGTGGCACTGGAAAAGTAAAATCATCTATAAGAATAAGCTATTATCTATATTTATATTCCTACAATACACCCAGGACATTCCAGGGACATCATATGAGGCATGTTGTGGCAAAATGGCTAAGTTGTAGCAAAAATTAAAATTCAAGTTATTGGTATTTTCAGATACCTGTGTATGTGATCTTTAAAATGAGGGGTCATTTATTCAAATTGGACATTTCAAGCCTCAGTTATTGGAAAGTGAATGTACAGTACTCGTAGAGTAAAGATAAACATGATTTTGAGTAATTGCCTTTTAAAGTTATTTGTGCATACATTGTTTAATAGAATGAACTAAAAAAATATTTGTTGACCACAGTGGTCAAAAATTTGTTGACCACTTCCAGAACTAATACTTTGGGAGATGATTAATAAGACATCAAACTGTTGATCTACTGTATAGTGAAAAACAAATTTGGATTTTTAGGCAATTTTTTGAGCTCCCATATTTTATGACTCATTTACTCAATACTGAACTGTGCGACAACTTAACCATTTTGCCACGACATGTCTCATATTAGTGTCCGGTGCTGATAATCTCTACACTATAAACTACAGTTAAAATCTCAACCACAACTACCCTCCTCATTATATATACTGTTTGGACTGAGGGGTACATAATTGGAAGATGTATATATATTCCTACAATACGCCAATCCTTTCCAGAGACATCAATATTAGTGTCCAGTGGTAATAGTCACTGCATTATAGACTGCAGATAAAATCTAAACCACCACCACCCTCCTTACATGGATAAGGGCAATTATAAACAATTAAAGAGGATAAATTCGAGTGAATTGAACTCACTTAAGAGCTGCCCTCGTCCAACTGGGAAGCTGAGATGGTGAAGCATCTTCATCTATTGCAATGGGTGCTTTGCGTTTACGTTTACTAGCACGAACACTCCCTGGACTGTCTGCAAGGCAACTTGTATCAGAACTACTGCTCTGGGAGCTAAATAGACCTGATGTATAACAAAAATTCAATTCAATTATTTCAATTCAATTTAACTTTATTCCAATATATAATAGTAATAATTCATATCATTCAAATATTCATATTTGCTATACATTTATATTTCAAATATACAACATATTAAACTAAATGTTGAAATTTACACTATTTTCAAATGACGATGGCCGCAGTGATCCATTTTAAAATGAGAGTTGATTATTGATGTTCACTTACCTATACTAACTTGTATAGGTTTACATTATTAGAAGAATAAACACATTACAAACCTTCTTCCTGACTTTGACCTGTTACAGATGTTGTGCTGTCAGTCATAACCTCATCTTGTTCTAGGCTTTCCTCCAGTCGCTGACTAGCGAAGTCTGTCATCTGCATGTGACTAAGATCCAGACCACTCTTCTCAACCATCACCGGCGTTGCTCCAGCCTTTCAATAAACATTATTATCATGTAAACGTTTAGAAATGATATTAGGCAGTATTAAATTATATTACATCATTTTTTAGAAAGTTAATTACAAGGCCAACAGTATTATGTTTTGGTTACTAATGCTAAGTTAAACAGATAAAAAGGAACAAACAGAATATACATTGTTTTTAATAAAATAAAAATATAAATAAAAACCATATAAAAAAACAATATTTTTTTTTAAATCCAATTTTGGGATAAAAACAAAATATTTTGTCTAAGAGGATTTCACGCATTGAAACTTGGCACTTAATTATATAAACTTTTAAGTGTGAAATTCCAAGTTTAAAGAAGTTAAAGCAAAGCAAACAGAAAATGAAATTAAACCAACAAAATAAAAATCAACAATGACGATATTAACAATAAACTTGTTTTCATGTACTGTATAAACTATCTAATCATTATTAAAATTTGATTTTATCAGTTTTATCTCATCATGATGCTCCAAATTTCTTAAGTACCTTATTTGCATCTCTTGGATCTTGATGTAATGAGGTAAATGACAGCACATGTAAATTTGATTGTGTATTTAAATTAGATTCAACATCCCAGGGTTTATCAACTGGACTTGTCTTACAGGTGGGTGACTCTGAACAGACCTACCAACAATTAAAATGTATTATTAACAACAATATTCAAAATGATGAAGTCATAATTTATGAAACTAACTAAAACAACAGTCCCTATTTCATAGACAAAAATTGGTGGGTAGAACCTAGGATAGTGGTTGGCTCAGCTATACACCTTGTACTTATTGCATGCTCAACTCGGAATAAACCATCTACCGTGCACTAGTAGAGTATTACTTTTTCTTTGAATTCTCAACATCAGGGGATTTTTTTAAAGATATTTTAACAAACAAGGCTGATAATTAATTAAGCTTAATATTATACAGTAGGAGGTGATGGAATATAACCTCCTGTCGATGTCAATGTCAACTAACCTGGGTGTAAGCGTAAAAAGGTGAGAACCCTGGTCTTTATCCTATAGTCATTTAAATTTTTTGAAAATATTTTTGGATAACAATTTATTGCAACATGAAACCATAGCAAACAACATACACTGACTAATATTGTGAAAAAATATATAACTTGTTACTAACTGAAGGACTAGTGGATGTCAATGTAGACTCCTGAATCTGAGTACTTGAGGGCGTACGATCATGTTCTAAACCTATTGGCACCTTTCCTGAAGGGATCTTGCCAATATACGCATCCACTGGTGAGTCTTCCCTGCTGTCAAACTCATATGGGTCAACTTCTTTTTCAATGGTACCAAAAGATTCTGGAGTTGATTCGGATGTCTTTGATGTCGATGGTACTGATGCTGCTACTGGTGTTCCTTCTGGTAAGAGATCACATGCTAGAATGTCCTCCTTCAGCAGAGTAAGCTCTGCAGCTGTCTGGAGAAGATCCCGCCCACTGGAGACACTTTCCTGGATGGTATCATCCACAACTCCAGATAGTCCCTCTTTTTCCAAGAATTCCTCAAATTGATCTACGAATGACATTTGTGTTGGTGTAACCTTTATTGCCTGGGGGGTTACAACTTCTTCATGTAACTGCTTTTGAGCTGTTGTGTCAACTGGACTACTCCTCTCTGTTTGAAAAGCTATGTCTTTTATAATGGATGCTGCTTGTTCAGACTCAATTGCTGATAATTGTTGTGGAGTTATTGTAATTGTTTTTGTTGCTTTGCCTGAAAAAAAATATATGCAAACACTAATGATACAAATTCCTTAACATTTGAAAACAGGAGTGTTTTGCTCACCCTCATATGTTAATAATACACAGAAAAAAAATCACAAGTGTTTGAATGGGAATGAAGCCAATGATGTCAAGATAACAAGTCTGGTATAATAACCGCTAGACCACTGAGCTTGCGCTGGTTAAGCTTGAATTTTATCTTAAAGTAGCAGCAGATACTGTACTTGAATATTATTTTGATTTGTGTTTTGAGTAAGGAAAATCAATAGGAATGATGTTCATGCCAGCCTGGCATATTTGTATACTGTATCTCAATCACTAGCAAGAATTTTTGTTCTAAAGTACTTGAGAATATATGGAGTTCCACAAAACACATCACATTTCTTTTTATAGTACCCATGTATACAATACACTACACAACAGCAAATTCAACTATATTATTAATAGAATTATTCTTCTTTTAATATGCTTTATATTCTTATAATAATCATAGATTTTCTTTGGACTCTCTGCAGTATTATTCTCCTGATGACGGTTGAAACAACTCAATCGAAACGTTGAGAAATTCTTTTCAGAACCATCTTGGTGGTGTACCGCAGAGCATTCAATATATTGTTACTTCACCATGCAAACCTTCAAACAATATTATTAGTTTTATTAGTTTCATTCTTATTATCAATTTTAAAACAATTGATTTGAATTTAATACCAACCTTGAGATACAAGCTGTAGTTTTAAAGGACCAGAATCTAATGCCTTCTTTGTTACCATAGGAACCTTGGCCATCTTGCTGAGGTCAATAGTTTGTGACCTTCGAGGAGCATCACCTGTTACAATAAAAAGAGAAATTGTAAAATTACAGAAGTAATACCAGCGAAAAGTATATACAATGTTCATATTACTTTCAGACTGCAAATTAAAAACAACCCATTATTATCCCTAGTTTCTAAATCAATACATCTAATGAAGCTGTTATTGACTGCCAGGGAAAAGCTGAATAAATGACATCTTGAAACTTAGTGCTGCTGACTCATTATTACCAGTTATTAATATTATTGTTCAGACTAACTAATATTTTCACCAATTTTAATATGTTAGTGGAATGGTTTGTTTTCTATGAATCTGTACAATGCCATTGTGGCAAGTGTTAAGCAATTAAACTTGAAAATATAATTTAAAATTTTGATTTTCTTTTCAGATTTTATTTAAAAAAATGTTAAAATCTTTTTCCCCTTACCTGCCTCTCCCGGTTTGCTTCGAAACTCCAGAAGAGCCTTAATAGCGGAGGATGCTGATTGGTTGGTGGCTGTAGCATCGTACTCAATCCACTCCTTGTTTGGCTGGTTTCCAGATATTAATACAGTTGATGAACCATCCGCAGACTTCCGTGATTGGAAAGATGCACCTGTCAATCAAAACAACATAAATTATGTTACCATGGAAGCTATATAAATTAATAAATCAATCAGTTAATCAATCACTGATTTCAGAATCAATATCCATATACAAAATAAACAAGTGGGAATTAAACTACACATCCAATTTTCTGCATTTCAAATATAACAATTATACAGTAGAACCTCGATTTTACGTACGGTACGGGACCGGAGGGTGTACGTAAATCGGGGGATTCATAAAATAGAGGTTGGGTTAAATTTGTGGTAACCTTTAACCTAATACGTACGTAACACTCAATATACGTATGTATGAACGAACGATGTTACCTAGCCTAGGCTAGACCTAGCCTCTAGACCTACGAATAAAACCATGTGTCTAGTGTATTAATTCATCACTTTATATCTTTTATTTAACTAAAGAACATGAAAATATTGTAAGATTACCTATACGACAAAGGTACAACTTGGAAATTCCCCTTCATGCCTATTCTAAACAACAGAGCTGTGGTGTTGTCTGGGCCTGTTGAGAGACAAACTAAACCCATGTGCGCAGCACTACTGGGCGAGCCAACCAATTAGCGTTCGTGTACGAAACTATGCCCACTCATCTTCGTGTAGAAAATTCGACCAGACAAGTTTTTCCATAGTTTGCCACACGAAGCTAAGGAGGAAAGCAATTATTTTGAGCACCATCGGTAGTTGTTCATCTCATTCAGTTCACATGGTCTTAGATTATAACAACCGGTATTAGGCTCAATCAACGTTGCTGTTTAATTAAAATACGTTGCATTATGGTTTGTTTACTGTTATAGTTTATTGTTATAATCTTTTTACTTATGATTGCTCTGAAAAGGGTTGTTTGTTTTGAATATTTTCAGGGTTTTTGATGACGTCATCGTAGATATGAGGCATACGTAAAACCGAGGGTTCATATAACTGGGGTACGTAAAAACGAGGTTCTACTGTAATATTAAAATGATTATTTGGTGTTTATTAATTACTAAAATTAGTTTTATTATTTACTATTATATTTTTTGTATTGTTTTTATTGCAATTATTTACCATAATTCATTATTATTATTACTAATATTATTATTAGACAATACGTAAATTCTTAGAATTTATACACTCCCCATCGTCAGTGAATGCAATACCTGCAGACTTTATAGGCACTGTATTCGCGATACAAAAACTATTCTCCTTATACATTTGCCATCGTCATTGACTGCAACACCTGCAGTACCTCCTAGACACTGTACTTGGCGATACATTTCGCATCACCAGTGACTGTATAGTAGTTACTCATCTTATTTAAATTATTCATATTGCGTTCTTCGAGCCAATACTATTTCACTGTATGTTTACAAGTACATTTGACAATAAATTTAATCTGTATCTGTATCTGCAGTACATGTAGACCTCCTAGAGACAGAAAATGTTTTCTTTATTCACTTACCATCATCAGCAACTGCAGCACCTGCAGACTTTATAGACACTGTACTTGGTGACACAGAAACTGTTCTCTTCACAGATAGCAGCTTCTCCACTTCTGAGGTCAAAACTCGATCTTGTAATATCACCGACTCTTTACCATCTTGTATTGACCTTGAGCTTTTTGGTCTGATTATAACCTTATAAATTAAGTGATGAAATAAATTACAATCAGTAATGTCTCCTTTTGAAGGCTAATCTTGAATGTTTCTTTCATAAAATACAGTTACAGTATATTAGGCCTGTATATGGTATACCAATCTTATTTCTTAGCATGATCTACACAAAATATAGGTTTTTAACAAGGTAAAATTTCAAGTTGGTGATTTAACCTCGCTTAGTTCAGACTAAAAAAAATGGCCTGCGTAGCTATCAATTTTAGTCACAGTTGCGTAATGTACTTTTAGCTCTAGCTGAGTTTGGTTTTATGAATATGAAATGACGTAATCTTGAAGTTTAGCTCAAACTATGGCTAAAGTTCACTTCAAGTAAACAAAGGCATACACTGAATGGTTGAATCTATGGAAACCATCTTAAACTAATGAAACACTTCTGCATTTTTAGAACAACAAATGCATTGAAGTAAAGCACTACAGTATTGTCATAATAACTCAAGTGTCTATCACATAAAACATTAAAATAATAATCAACCTGTGTTTTAATCTTTCCTTCTTTGTTTCCCTTCAGTGCTCCCATCAACTCAAGCATACTGCCTTTGTGGATGACCTGACTCTTTGAATACTGGGGTGATGGGAAACGAATCGTTGAAGTAATTATGTTTGGTGACGTGATGGATGATGAGCTAGGAATCATAGATATCCGAGGCCTGCTGATTACCGAGGAGCTGACATCATGACCCTGAAACGTTAATTCATAGTAATTAATATTCAAGAGGAGCAATCGATTCCCAATTAGACATTTTGATTGAGTTCTAGGCCAAAGCACTCTCTAACCATGCTGTCTAAAGCTAGGCTAGGCTAGTGGGAATTGATTGTACTGTATGACAGCTGCTCTCAGGCCTCATTATGAGGCATAAGCATTGCCCACACTATCACATTTGATTTGACAAAAACATGTGACATGCCTAAATATGGTCATATCATGACCATATATAAACACATCATGACCATATATGGGCATATTACTTTTTTGTCACATAAAATTTGATAGTGTAGATAGAGCTTTAGGGAATTGATGACTTTCTCTTGACAGGATTAGAACCTAATCAACTCAATGACCAAGCTACAGCCCCACAGTCAATGGATGATGGCCATATGTCTACTACAGGATGTAACAATCCATATCTGTACTCACAACAGTCTGCCGTTGGACTTCACTGCTAACAGGGATTGTACGGTGGATACTAAGGCCCTTGGCGGCTTGCCCCTTCTGGACCACAATCACATTTGGCTTGGTTATGGTGGAGGATGTCGAGGAGTATGGCTTTGACATGATTACTAAAATAAAGAAATAACAGTTCATAGTTCACATTATTCGTCCTTACAGAAATGGGGCTTGCCATGGCAAAACCATTATCAGTGACCAAAACAAGAATATTGACTTTTTAATATTTTCATATTCTCCACATAAGCTTAAAAATGATGGTTATTCACTGGAATCCACTTATTATTGCCAAAGTTATGAGCCAAATTATGTGTCTTCTCTGCACTAAAGTATACAATAACTACCACATTCTAATGCTAATTACTAAGTTTAACATTTAGCGATAGTATGCTGGTTTTAGGATGGCAAGCCTCAAATTCAAAATGACATACAATAGCTCAAAGTTTACTTAAAAAATAAAAGAAACAAACATATCGTAAAACCTCCAATTGAAGCCCAATGGGCTTATTCTCAAGAAGAATTTCGAATTGAAGCCCCTCTATATTTTGCAAAATTAGCCTATAAGATAGCATAGGCTTCTTTTCGAGACAGTACAGTAAATACACTCTACATGAATTTCAAAGAAACAAAATAAATTATACCACAGGTGGGCAAAGTGCGACCCGCGGGCCGCATGCAGCCAAACAGCAATTTTTTGCGGCCTGCGAATATAAATTAAAAGCCCGACGTGTGCAGCCCACCAAGCAACATTCGTCAGAAAACACCTTGTTTTTTACGGCCCAACACCGATCATATGTAAAAAGTTATATTAAAACTGGGAATAAAGTGGTGTAAAAGCAAGTGCTTGGAGGTTTTTGGAAGCTCACTGGAAACATTGAGGGTGCGGCCCTCAGTGTTATATCAGAAATTCACTTTAACCCTCCAACCAATTTTTATGCCCACTCCCGGTTTATACAGTAGTTTAGGTGATTTCATGCCGGTTAATACACTCCATGATACAGACTGATGTTACAGTGGCCCTATTTAATGTTTTATAGTACTAATTCTCTTTACTTCGCAAAAGTAGCCTCGAAAAGAAACCCATCTCGAAAAGAAGGCCATTCAAATTTTGCAAAAAAAAAGAAGCCCAGGGCTTCAATTGAAGGTTTGCAGATCATCGTAAAACAGATGACAGGTTTTCCTTACTTTAAATGAAGAATCAAATAAAAAAAAGTAAAGGCATTTAATCAATATTTAATTTAATTTTTTAATGGATGTCATCAAAAAATTTGAAAACATAGTCAAAAGGAATGACTAATAGCATAGGTCACAACAGCTTCCAGACTAAAAAATGTTGTTGAAAACCTAAGCTTTAGAGCTAAATTACACAAGTTACTTGTAGGCTGTTGTAGAGACAGCAACAGTTACTACTCTGTACTCACCTGATGAAGCCCCTGATTTTGAGCCTACAACCTGCTGAAGTGACTTTGGAGTCACTGTGATAATGTTGCCGATTTGAGCAGCGGATTTGGCAAATTGTGGCGAAGTTGTCACAATTCTAGCTCCTCCAACGGAACTTATTAGCACCTGTCCAGAAGAACCTTCAAGTTGATAATCATAATATGCAATTAGCAATCAATTCTTTTAAACATGGTTAAATGGATGATGATAGTGACGATGATCATGGTGACAATGAAACATCATGACAACCATCATGGTGACAATGATCTTTATAATGACTATCATGATGACCATGATCACCATCATCATCAAACAATCATATGAATGACTATCATGGAAATGACAATCATGGTGACAATAAACATGGTGACAATGATTCAATTCAATTCATTTCATTTTATAAATAAATATAACAGAAATGTGCTTTGAAGCTAAGCGATCAAACATAAATAGTTAAAAACAGTTAAAAACAGACTTGGAACTTTAAAATGTTCCAAACAGAACAGTGAAAAACATTAAAACAATATATTATTAAAACATTAAAATACAGTAAAATGTATTAAGGGATATTATTAAACTTTAAAATATATTATTAAAACATTAAAAGACAGTAAAAAGTATTAAGATATATTATTAAAACACTGTACGATGATAAAATACAAAGAGCAGAAAATGCACTAAAATAGGGTTCGCTAAACAAGGTATAAAAAATCACAGTGACAATGATCACAGTGACAATCATCATGGAGATGTTGATCATGAAAACAATGATCCTAGATACAAAAATCAAAGTCATAAAAAGAAAAAAAAGTCCTATGAGGATCATTATTATGAAAGTAAAGGTGACAACATGATCATGGTGACATCAGACAACTATTGAGATAGACAATCATGATGACAATGATCATGATGACAATTAATGAAATGACTCAAATTTTTCCCTAGCAAAACAAAGTCAAATTTGACATGAGTACAGCAAAATGGACACATTTTGAATACATGAATGCAACACCCACCCGATATTGTTGTGATTGGTTTTGATGTCAATGATGCAGGCACACATGTCACCATGACAACAGAAGTACCACTTGTGGAGCCACGAGCAAGTGGTTTTGTGATCACCTTGCTACCAGATGTTCCTATAGTTTGCGTTATGATCTTTACACCTACAAATGTAAAATATACTGCAGTGGTAGTGGCAATAAAAATATTACAATATTGTATTTTTTCCGAGTATACGTTGAGGGGACTGGCTACAAAATTTAATGCAGTACACTACATTTGGACAGATACCTTGTTATATTATTTGTAGCTAGCAAACCCAAACGATTAGTGTTAATAATGTTGCTATGTTTTGCTACAGAAATATTGGTATGGAGACCTCCACGAGTAATATATAAAGATAGAAATAAAGGTTTCCTACCAGAATCTTGTTTGATTTTTATGGTTGGTTTCTGTCCAGGTAGCAATTTGTTCTGAAGAGTAACTGGCAATGGTGATTGCACAAGTCCTTTACTCATTTTAGTTTTGCCAAACACTTTCTGCCTTGATAATAATGCTGATGAAGCAGACATTACTATAAAAAAAATAAATAACAGTACCAATATCATTAATAAAGACTATATATAAATAAAATTAAAAATTATATAACGATACAGAAAAGATTACAACAATCTGTTCAATTGTGTTTAAAGCCAAAGCAATCCCATTAAGGCAGACGCAACAATTTACAGTATGTGCAACAGACTATATGTGAGGACTCACCACAAAATGAGATGCATCGTTGGTGAAATCACAAGCCCCTGTCACATAGACGTTGCTGCAATGTTACGGTAAGCATGCTGGCATAATAACCGTCTATACCCTTTCACACAGCGCCTTTGTTACCGCAATAATCTTACGCTTTTCTGTCTGAAAGGCTTCTATAGAATGGTGTAATATTGGCGGCTTAGATACCATTGCACAATTGTTTTCAACTTTAACCTTGTTTGTTTATGCATAAATGCACATGCTGACTTGATTGCCGCAATATCGAGTAGACCATTTCAGACAGAACAAGCCAGTAACTGTTACCGCAATATTGCAGCAGCATTACTAGGGTGCAAGGTGGCCTAACTTAAGCTGGCATATTGGCGTATCAACCCTGTCAGATAAAACCCATGCCAGCTTGATTACCGCAATATTGCGGTATTGCAGCTCTGTCTAAAAGGGGCTATATTGAGATATTAACCAAAATAGTTAAAATTTTTACAAAATTTTGATTTTAAAGTTTTTGAATAACTTGATACTTATATTTTATGACTGTATACTGTCTAAGAGAATGTTCTCTGCACATGTTTTGTAATTCTGGTCCTATTATTTGTACAAGTTAGTTTATCGTTAAAGCCGATTTTCTCAAAACGTGGTTCTCATATGCTTAAATGCTCACCTATCTGGATGTAGTTATACTAGGAAGGCCATTCAAAGTCCAAATTATACCTTATAATGTGATCTACCCAAATACAATATTAACTCAATTTTTGATTTTCTAACCATGAGACTCATTCTGTGGTGAGACCTCACATATTCAACAACGATCTGCTAAATCTGGGCCCTCACTACTCCAGACGGTTGTCAGCTTAACTGATTCTATAGAGAACGCAATGCCACGATGCGTGCTTAACAGATCATTTTCAACGTGGATCTGTTTAGACTGCCACCGACATCAGATGGCATTGTGTTGTCTAACACTCACAGGCAGCGGAATTGGATTTGTCACAACGCAGTGAGTGTCCAGATTTAGACTGCGAAAAATCAGGACACAGTTAAGCTACGTTCATATCAAGCCTGGATCCGGTCCGGAGCCCGGACAAAAAATTGTGAGTTGCTACGTTTTTTTAATGCTGCGTTCACATCGCGCACGGAACACAGTTGTTCGGGTTAAGTACGTATGCATTTGCTTGGTTTGAAACAACCAAGCTTGTTGCTGATTGGTCCAAGAAAAAAAAATGTACGATTTCAGGATGCAAATGGCTCTCAGATCCATGGCTCCAGATCCGTAGTCCAGATTGGAAATCGTACAAATTTGATGTGAACGATCCTATTCTTTACCACTGAACCCATTTTCATGATTTTTTCTCCGGACCAGAATCCAAGCTTGATGTGAACGTAGCTTTATCCAGCGCTAACACTGAGAAGAGATTCTTTCACAGTGTGTGCCTGGCTATATATTACTTTACATACAAAAACATTTTTAAATTAAAAATTTAGTGACATCATTAACATACCAGCGCTTGTCAAGACTCTGGAGCTTGCTGGAGACACAACAGTTGTGGCCATGCTTTTATTCACAACAGTTGTGGACATGCTTTTATTCACAACAGTTGTCGCCATGCTTTTATTCAGCTGCTGGGCAACGGATGTCATGGTCACTGATTGAGTTATTGCAGTAGAAACAACAGTTGCTGCGACATTACTCTTGAACTGAGCACTTGTGAACATATCTGGAGTTTTCTGACCAGAGCTAACGGGAGAGTATCTGGAGGTGGTCAAGCACTGTGACCTCTCCAGGATAGTGGATGTTATAGGAGAATTACTGCTTGACACAATGATTACCTATAAAACAAATTTAAAAAGACACATATTACCTACAATATCATGATTACAAACATCATAATTAAATAATACAATAACTATGGTAAGTCCTTCCACCTTGATTCATGTAACTCTCAGATTTGTTATTAGACTAGGAAAAAAATCAAAAAAGAGGCCTAGAAATCAAGTTAGGGGGAGTGGAATGTTAGAAGCAGTCAACATAGCCAGATATCCTAATAAATCCGCCCTGGTCACCCTAAGCCCTGTTGACACTTGATTTTTCACCTGGTATACAAATGGCGGCCATTTTTCAAAATGGCCGCCAAATTTATTTAAAATGTGTATATAATTGGAACTAAATAACCTACAGATATGATGTTGGTGTCTAAAATCATAATTTCTATACATGCAACAAACCAGACATATAAAAACTACTGTCACTCATGCCAGATTGGAACATAATTCAAAAATA